CAATTTAAAATTAAATTATATTCTTATAAATTTTCGTAAAATTGAGATAAGATAATAATAATAATTTTTGTCAATTAAAAAAGGAATTTTCTTTAAACTTATAATAAGAGAAATCAATAAATTATATACAATATTTTAATTTGAAATTCAAAATTAATTCAATTTAATTAATATATTTTTCCGTTAATATAATTTTAATTGAAATTCGCTATACACACATAACTGTGTAAAAGAAAAAGAATATAAAAGAAATAATTGAAAAGAATGAATAAAATTTTCCATTTTAATATTACCAAACCGGCACGCATTTTTAATGAGAACATAGAAAGTTGACACTGAACGATTTCCAAAGAAATAATAAGTTCCCCCGTTCTTTCGAGAACTGTTCCTTTAACTAATATAACAGAGTATCTGGGCGGAGCATCTCATCGTCACTGGCTGCCGCCGCTGCAGAGCAAAAAGGAAATATTCATATTTCAAAGGAAGGCCCGTCACATATCATACATACCGTCGTTATGTATGTCTGCTATGTATTATATATATATACATATATATATATATGTCTGCAATATTACGAAAATATTTACTGTTGTAATGCCTCCAATGTTATCAGAAATATTTTATAACATAGAGTACCCTCCATATAAGTTTGGAAACACCTTACATTTGACAGTTAAACAATCGTATGGCAGCGATCTGTGTAGATTTGTTGTATCAAGAAATCGTAAAATATTTTAATGACATTTTTATTTATGACAGATCGCTACCATGCGATTGTTCAACTGTCAAATGTAAAGTGTTTCCAAACTTGTGAAGAGTACTGTATGCAATAAATAACAAATGTCCATTTATAAGACTGTTTTTTGTTCTCACGATTAATAATATTTCAAATAATATACTGATAACAAACATTCCATTAAATTTATATTCTTGCATGTTACGAATTTCTTTAGAGAATTTTTCTCTTAAATTAAGAGAATTCTTTCGACAGATCTGTGCAGATTTTTTGTATCAATAAATCATAAAATAAACGTAAAATATTTAAATGACATTTTTATTTATGACAGATCGCTACCATGCGATTGTTTAACTGTCAAATGTAAAGTGTTTCCAAACTTGTGAAGGGTACTGTATGCAATAAATAACAAATGTCCATTTATAAGACTGTTTTTTGTTCTCACGATTAATAATATTTCAAATAATATACTGATAACAAACATTCCATTAAATTTATATTCTTGCATGTTACGAATTTCTTTAGAGAATTTTTCTCTTAAATTAAGAGAATCCTTTCGACAGATCTGTGCAGATTTTTTGTATCAATAAATCATAAAATAAACGTAAAATATTTAAATGACATTTTTATTTATGACAGATCGCTGCCATGCGATTCTTTAACTGTAAAATAAAGGGTGTTTACAAACTTATAGATGGTACTGTATATGTTGTAACAAGAAAACTCTTATAATATTGTTTTATTTCATTTTAATTGCATAGTATAAGTTAAAGATTCACACATTCTTAATAATATATAAATCATCAGTGTATTGACTGCATATTAAAGAGAAAGCAGCGTTATAACATTTTATTTTTCGTCTCTTTAATATTATTTCATCTTTCAACACGAATACATATATACATATTTGTATATGTAATATCACTCATCATCTAATGTCATTACTTTTAAATATATATATAATTGCATTTGTCAGAAAATAAAATAAAAAAAAAGTTGCTAACGTTGAATAGTCGCTGTCTTATGATATCTGTTGCAAAATGCAAATCTCCGTGTCAAAAATCATCATAATTCAACGTTTAGTGAACAGACATTTTCTGTAAGGGTAAAATTTGTTTTTTCTCAAAATGCATTAGAGAATATGACAACACGAAAATCTTTTGCTCGACGTCTTCAGGAATTACGAAGGTTTAATTCTGCCGGAGCAAGAATTTCTCCGCTGCTCCTTTATTCCTAATTCGACGGCGAAACTATTTATTTCTGTCATGTTTAAGCTGAAAGACACCTTTAATTCTGATTTGGTTAGTCAAATGTGAAGAAACGTTTCGCAAGTAAGAATCTTCGCATCTTCGACACTCTTGCCATAATTTTTCAGCTACAACAAATGTACCTCAACATTTTTACTTTAAAATTATATTATTAGTATCTCATCTCAGTTTTACGAAAAATGAGAAAAATTTAATTTAAAACATCATATACTTCTTCATTCAAATAAAAATATGATGACTAGATAGATATCTCTATGAAATCTTTACTAAATAAATTGGAAATAATATAAAGATATAAATTAAATCCCAACTAAATTTTTCGAAAGTTTTTTTCTAAAAAATTCTTTTATAAGTAGACAACTAAGAGAATTGCTTTCATTAAATACTACAAGATAATATAAAAATTTTGAAATTGATGAACCGTAAAATTATTATTGAAAAGCACTGCAATTTAGAATTTCAGAAGACAACTTTTTTGTAATTGTATTATTCAATAGAAAATTACTGTTTTATTCATAATAGCTTATATCTTTATACACATATGATTCTTCTTCATTAATTTAAATTACTTTTAATTGTTTCATTAAATAGAATCGAATATTATATTTTTTATTCATGTAATAACACAAATACATTGTTGAGATAATATACCTATGATAATATAAGATTGTTAAAAATTATTTAAATTAAAAATTTATTAATATGTTTTAATTTTCAAAAACAATTTTTCAAGAACAAAAAATGTTCATGTTTTTTTTTAAATCATTTTCACACAAAAATTATTTTCATCTCGATTGTATCATAATTTCGGACGCATCATATACATCTATATTTTGACAAAAATATAATAATGTTCAATAAATTTATGCAAAATAATTAATAAATTATATGTCAACGTTTGTATTATACCTATATATACATAATTATAAAAATTATAATTTATTTTTAATTCAAGTTTTATTTAAATATAACTTTCTTCTTTATATAATTACTAGTTTTCCAAATTCACCACATTTCTGTCTTTATACAGATTGTCCAATAATCGTTCCATCTATTATATGCAAGTTAGAATTAATATAGGAAAGTTATTACCGTTTCGTGATTTTTGCAATAATTAAAAGAAATTAATTAAAACCGATCATCTCATCGAGAAGAGAGTTCATTCAAGGGTCTACTTATGTGCTAATTTCTTATTAATTATTATGAAAATCACAAAACGATACAGGACTTTTCTGCTCGACTAAACCCACTCTATTTACACATGAGAGAATGGAGCGATTATTAAACACGAATAGTATCTAAATAAAATTACATAGATCTGGATGAAACTTTGACGTCACCTTATCTTTATATAGATAATAAAAATATGTATTATCTATATCTGCATATATCTTAGATGAAAAAAATATTATCTTTATTAAATTATCTAGAATAATTTTTAGATAATTTTGGTTTAGAATCATAGCACATAAAAATACTTCATTTTTTTTAACTGTGCTCATATAAGCGCAGTCTTAAAAATGATCTGGATGAGTCGCCATATAATTTTATCTTTTATCTCTAGATATATTTAAAACAAAATCATCTTCATCTTATCTAAGATGAATTTGCATACTTTTCTCTCATATCTTTATCTAGCTAATTTTCAAATCATGTAAACACAACACTGAACACGAATACGCTGTAATCTGGTAGAAAGAAATGATAATTCACAAAGTTATGTTTCAATAGTATATTGTGTATCAAGTGCGGAAAGTTGACAATTGGTCACGAGTGCGGGGGATAAACGCACGAGCCGAAGGCAAGTTCGACCACCTTACACGAGTGAACAATTGTTAATCCGCATATGATACACATACTATTTTGTATTACAAGTGCAGGCAAAGTGGCTTTGTGCGCGTTTTCTGTGCGCGAGGTGGCCGATTGCACGCCGCCATCTTGCGACGGCACGGTGCGGGAATAGTCGCGTTTAAAGTCATTGTCCACGGCTGAAGCCGTGGACAATGACTTTGAACGCGGCTTAGCCGTAGGCAATGGCTTTGAATGCGGCTTATTCACTCACCGCGTTGCCGCTAGATGGCGGCGTGGGAAATCGGCCGCTTTCCGCACAGAAAACACGTACACAAAGTGCCACTTTGCCTGCACGTGTAATACAAAATATTTTTTAAAACGGTATATTAGACGAAAAATAATAATTTTGATGAGGTGTATATTTGGAAACGTTTAATTACGCTGTTCTCCATCGCACCCTTATTATTGTAGTGTTTTCTTCGAGGTCGCACATACGCAGCTCCGCCAACAGTTTCTACAAGCACGCGTGCTATCACACATCGGTTCCACGAGCCAAGTACTTAGCGCCAAGCAAAATGTGAATGCAGATCAGGTGGATACACTTGAAGAGGCGTAACTATGGTTGCTCACGTTCCACTGCTGTCGCCAATAGTCCATGCAGATGTGACTCCGCCTCTGAAGCCATGGCCAACCTCCTTCCCCAATCCTTCCCTGCGATCGTTTAATTATGCATTCAGTCGAGCGTGCGCATAAGTGTTTATGCGCGAACGTGTAAATAAATGTGCATCACGCACGTAAGAATGCGACGAGACCGACTGCATTTTATATGCGTTTTATTATCCACCAATCGGCTGCTTAACCAGCCTCCTCGAATTATAGTTCCATCTCGGTTTTCTGCACCTTGTTTTGTTTTTTTTGTTCAAATTTTCTCTTTCCCTTAATACTTCATACGTGATGTTACGGATGGAGTATGAAGGAGTGAGTGGATGCGCGAAAAAGGCTCGGCTCGGCTCTCGTAAACGTTTCTTTTTCAATGGAACCGATGAATTTGCGCGTATAAAATCTATACTTTATTATAAGAATGCATATGTATGAGTGAAACGTTACACATTTAGGTGGGGAGTGTATGGTTTAAGAGGCGTGTAGAGGGATTTCTTATTGCTGCTCTGGTAAATCTGTCGCTTTAGTCAGTGAGGCAGCGAAGGGCGAGCCGCGCACTATTAACCGTGTCTGTGCTCCTTTTTTCGTCTCCCCATTTGCCAATGTTACGATTCGCGTGTACACAAGCAAGACAGTGCGGTGTAATAGTTCACGAATCTATCTCGTTAGGTCCGCGCTTTCATTTCTCGCTACATGTGCCGCTGTTATCGCATTTTTCTAGCATCGCGAAATCGTTTCATATTTATTCTTGTTTTTTACTACTCCTTTTCCTATTTTAAAGTTCGTTGTAAGTGCCATTATTTATGATGACTCTTTTCAGTTTTATAATATAGTAACGTAACGTTATATTTGCAACTTTTGGAGTAAAATCGCTGCACGCGGTAATTTATTAAAGTTCCACATCTAATTTCCAATTTCGCGAAATATTCGCTAATGGAAAGACTCAAATAATATCGTGAAAATCAAGATATTATATAATGATGTGTATGACAGGTTTTTATATGAAAATTCTAAACTTTTGTGTAAAACGTGTGTGTTTATGTGCGTGCGCATGCCATGCGTTTCCTTGATTGTTACACATATATCAAAGCGATATATGTTTGTAACTATAACTTTTCTATTGTCATTTTTAGATCTCTTCAATTTTGTTATCCGAAATATTAATTTACTCTTTCATCAATATTATTTATAATAATGATTTATACTTTATGTAACATCTTAATGTAACATTTCTCGCGTTGGATTCATCATTATTTCTGACTCGTATATTGTACGCGCAAGAGATTAAAATCGTGTGAAAATTATGTTTGGAAAAATACAACGTATGGCAGACGATTATTCGCAACGAAAAATTAATCTTGAATGTACTTTGAATACTACGCCGAACACAGAGATTTACTTTGTATGTAGCCGACGGCTGCTGGATTAAACATCTTTTCGATGGACCCGATCATGCTAGGTGAGCATAATTTCATGTTACGAAATAATGTCACGCGGCCTAGACTTAGATAATAATTAGCATAAATACTAAAATCGTAGTTGAAGAACTGATATTATTTGTGTTATCGTGCACACAACTCAGTTACATTTGTAATATTTTTATGACATTTCTACATACATATGTATATATTCTTATATAGAATGCAACAAAATTATTAATGACCAAGATGTAATAAATACATTATATTTACAATTAAGTCGTTATTATTAAGAAATTTGTGTATATAATTTAAATATTTTATTAATTACTATATTATTTATTCTATGATCTTTCTTCTTGTTTAAGAAATTTCCTGTATACACAAATACATAAATATATATGTATATACATACACACATTTTATATACATATATATAGAGCAAAAAATTTTTTAAACAAGAAAAAGTTGTATAATAAATAATAATGAAGTAAATATTTAAATTACAGTATTGCATACACATATTTTCAATAACAGTCTAATTATATAATAAATATAATGTATTTGCTACATCTTTGAATCATTGAATAATTTTACATCATAAATATATAATTATATATATGTGCTATGTTTGGTATAATATATTTAGTCATATAATAACACATGAATATAAGAAACACCATTAAATTATTCTATATAATTTATAAGTTTATTTTTGACATATATGCATACTTTTGCATTATTAATAATTTGATTTTATTATTTTAGATGTGTTTTTTAATACAACAAAATTAGATAATTTGCCGCTTTTAATTAAAAAACAAGACTTTATTAATTTTATGCTTTAAATGTTTGTATTCATATAATATTATATACAGTGTAATAATATTATTAATGTGTATATATGATAAAAGAAAATTCTTGTGTTAAATGCATAAATATGTATATATTAAAAAAATAATGCGTGTAGATTAGATGTATCTATCGGTATGTTATTAAATCTAATCATAAATAGTTGGTTATATTTATTTTATTTTATGTTTCCTCTCAATCAATTGTACGATCGTTAGATATTCAATATAATTGAGCTATAGCTCAAATAAATACTATGTGACAACTTAATATGTGAAATCTTATCTTCAGGTAAATCACTATTGCACTTCATATAATAATGATGTGACTAGTGCCGTATAAATATATGAAATAGGGTACGCATTACAAAAGGAGCTATATCGCCAAGTTAAACGAGAAAGCGATATGATTAACGGCAGGAGTAGTTGTAGTAAAATATAAGCTTCGAATAAAATTTTTTGTTTGATTTATATAAACATAGGTGGGATGAGCTATTTTGTTGTTTTGATAAGTATAAAAAATATATAAAGAATATGCAAACTCGTATTAATTAATATATCAATATATATCTACTGTAAAAACTTACATAAATACAAAAACTTATGAATTTTGTCTTAATAACTTTATTATTGAATTATTGGATGATTGTTATCATTTGATATAAAATATTATTATTTAATTATTATAGAGCATTACTATTTAATATAGGAATCATAAAGAATTATGACGAATAGAGATATGTAAAAGGTTGATACATTTGATATATATTATGTAATATACTGTAATGCTAATAATGTTAATTAAACCTTAAAAAAAATTTCAAAAATTTTTATTTTAAAGTTTTATAGAGTAAAAACAACTATAGAAATTATTATTTGTCTTGTATTTTATTTTTGTTAAACTGTATAATAATTTTGAGTGCCCTCTCTTTCACAATGTTCATTATATGTATTTCCATATTAAAGATTTGAAAAAATTATTTTCTAGTTTTATATTGCATGATTATAAATAAGCTTTATAGTTAAAAATAAGATAAATCTCATCAAAATTATTTTTGAAATGCATATACATATATACGTGTGTATGTGTGTATCAATATTTTTATATATTTTTATTTTTACAATAATTATTTTTAATATAATTGTTTTGAAATTATTATTTTTGCTTTGAAGGCAAATGTGTGTGTGTTTTGTCATTTTACAACCGTAATAAAATTCTCTAAAAATCAACATTAGCATGATATAATTATGTTCGATACGACATTCAAGAAAGTATGTTATACTCATTTCTCCAGTAGAGAAACCTTTGATCTTTTTTACTGGGTCCCGGATGCCCCCGTTCTTATCATTAGAAGAGTTTGTCCTTTTTAATTCAGTGCCGATTGTAAAAAAAAAACTGAATACGAGAGAGAGGGAGCAAACAGGAAAACAACAATAAATAATTATTTCAATTTTGTTAAATTTTCATTATATGGATATTATCCACATCCTATATTATGCATACCATGCGTACATTGTATGTTTTTAATGAAAGAATAAATGTGCACATTATATTTATACGTAGAATAAACCGCTAAAAGTTCATTTTATGAACATCAATATTATCTATGTTATATAGCTTTAATTTAATAAATACTACATTTATAAAAATAATTAATTTTATTTAATTATTATAAAATTTATAGTAATTAGTAACTAAATAATTAATTTAGAGAAAAAATTCTACTCAGTAATATTAACTTTAAATAAATTGAAATTATTTAAAGATAATGTTTTTAGAATCTTATCAAACATAAATATCATAACACAATACACACATACAGATGTATCTCAATATTTTTATGCACAGATGTACCTCGATACTTTGATGCACAAAATAATCAGTAGACTCTATTAGTATAAAGAAAACACATATAGTTGTTTAAAAAAATATATAACTGCTAGTAGTAAATTATATACTTTTACAAACATCTGTGTTTTTTTTCTTTACATTAATTGATTCCTTTCATTATTTTGTGCATACAATTTTGAGATAAGATCTTCGAAAAATTATTTTACGAGATATTTAATAGTTTATATAAAACAAATTAAAGTATAAAATATGTTACAAAACTTTTGGCCATCATTTTGGCTTAAATTTTTGGCCATTCTATCTTATAACTATTTATATCGAATATTGCGAGAAATCGATTTATATAAAAAATTTATAATGTAATCTTATTTTTAAAAAATTAAATTAATCTTCTTGAAAAATTTAGTTAAAATTCAAGATTATCAACTCTATTCCCCGTCAAACTCACATATTTTGTTTGACACATTTTTTTATACATACAATGTCTTGTTTTTGAGATATTTGCACTATGCAATAAAAGATGGGGCATCTTATATGTATAAATAAAATGTCTATACATATTTTCTTTTTCTTGTATAATTTCTATTCGTATATATGCATATATATGTATATGGAAAATAATAAGAGGAATTAAAAATTAATTTAGAGAATATTTATATATGAACAATTTTTTATATGCAATTATTATATATGATCAATTTTTTACTATTTTTTCAAATTTATTTTTTTAAATATACGAAATTTTTTATTTAAAAAATAAACAGATGCAAATTATACAAAAAGCATAAGAGCATTTTTGTAATTATGTATATATATTTAATTACATATAAGCAATTTTCTCGAAAATATATTGCAAAAAATAATGTAAAGAACTATATTAAAAATGTAGAAATGCACTTTAAAAACTATTCTACTATCTCTTTCAGTTCTTTTTTATAAGAAGACGCGTTAACAATATCCGAAGTCAATGACACCAATACATCTATAACTGCTGCTCTTGCTACTACAGTTCAAGACCCCGATATGTAAAGCGATACGATTTGAAACGTAAAAGCGAGATAAAACATTTGAACATTCCAAAGTCATCATATAAGTGTAGATACACACTCGCATAAATGTGTCAATAATAAAAATTTATCTCATGCCTTTTTGTAATAAATTATTAATTTAATATTATGTTATGATAATCTTGAAATTATATAAATGTAGACAATATAACATAAAATAATATAACCAAGTTAAAAAATGTAACCTTTATCATTTTATTTATATATATTTCTATTTTGTATCATGTTGTTTTTGCAAAAGTATATGTATAAATCTATGTAGAACAAACAAAATTTTAACTACATTTAATCTACTAAAAATTGGAATTTATTCGGTAATTTCGTTAATAAATATGTGTTCTATTTTTTAATATTAAACAATATATCTTTTTAAAATGTGTTAATAAAAATTCTATTAGTTGACAAAACTATCGTCGACAAATTTGATATATGATTTTGTCCACATATTAATTGCTGACAAGATAAATTATGACAACAAACATTATTTTTATCACAAGCATTATACAATAATTTAATAATTTAATTATAAATGTCTACTTATTTTATATACATATGGCATAATTATGCATAAAAACATTTAAAACAATAAAAACTAATTTTTTAAACACTTTAAATATTTGAATATACAAAATTGTATATGGAAAAATATAAATATGATAAATAAAATATTCACAATTTTAATTTAATTGAGTGTGTTTACTTTTAATGTTACTGAGTGTCATTTTTAGCTATAATTTTAAAATTTAATTAATTTTAGATTTAAAATTACAGTCTTGATATTGTATATCAAGACTTATATAAGATAATTACAAATACGCAAATTGCTTGAAATGAATAATAATACGAAATTATATAAAATTACATAAAATTTGATTATAAAACTCGGGTGCAATATAATTTGTATGCAAGAGCACTATCTCCTAGAATTTTTATTTTAAAATCTACATATTTTATTATCTGCATATAATAATATTACTTGTAACCAACTAATTTTTTGCTAATTAAATTTATCGGCAATCAACATGTATGAGTAAATGCGTGGAAACAAATCTATCGACAATAATTTTGTTGACAAAATAATATCTCGTGAAAAAGCCAGGTGTTCAGCAAAATGTATTTACACATAAGACAAAGCTGGCTGTTACTGATTCATTAGCATTGAATTAGTACTGTTTGTTTCAGTTAAATAATAGACAACCTTTAGAAAGATTGTTGAAATAGGATTGCGGTTTAGTTGATAAAGGACTGTACAAACAATAGCATTAGCTGCC